TAAAAAAATATTAAAATAATCGGTTCTTTTAATTTTTCAATATAATTAATATATAGTCAAATCCATCATAAAATATTATTATTGTTATAAACATCATGGTTTTATGTCCGATGGAAGAGCATCTGCATTGATGTGTAATTAATAAGTTGACACGTGTGGTGGTGCTGTCGTATCAGCCATGTCACCGTCGGCAATTTATTAGGGGATTTTGCCCGCTCTTAAATGGTTCCCGCTTTGTCCGTTTTAATAATAATTAATTATTAAATAGCTTACACCGCCGAATACAAAGTCAACGTCTAAAATCCTAGAGCGTGCCTTTCTCAAATAATATTATTATTTATATTGTTAGGTCACCGGTGCCTGCATGTGAGTTTTCCATATTATATTGGACAGAAGTTCAAATGACAATTTTTCGTAAAATATATCAGTTATATATTCTTAGGGTAATTTACTGATAAATTCTCGTTGGTTCGTGCATGAACTATAATCTCATAACGTAATTATTAATATGTTCAAATGATTTTTTATAATTTTTTTGAATAATCTAAGTTAAATATAAGATAATATATGTTCGAAGATAAATTCTCAATCTTTCAACATTGAACGCTCACACTCGTGATATATATGATGCTCGAACCCGGGTCCTAAGAATAACAATAATTCTTTTATCACAAGACCACTTGATTCGTACAAATAATTTATTAGAATTAAATTTATTATTTGACATTCATATATATATTATCAATCTATAAATAGTTATTATGATATCAAATAATTTCATTTTCTAATACATAATTCGCAAGCAAATGAGGTCATGTACCATGCTTATATGTTTGAATCGCTTGCCACAAATGAAATCATTAATTTTTGCAAAAAATTCCTTAACAATGACATAATCTTATCACCTCCCCTCCAATTAATTCTCCCTGACTTTTTGTTTTTTTAATTCTTTTTTTATAACCAAAACTTACGTTGATCATTCATAAAAAAAACAGCTCCAGCTTAATAAAGCAATCATCGTTTCATCAATGGCAGAAGAAAACACTTGCACGGATCCTTAACAGTTTCTTTCTTCTTAAGCTATTAGATGAATACAAATATAAAAGTAATTAATGAGTTTCGTGTGTTTATCTTCTGAGCTTTTTTTAATCAGATTTTCTTACTCTGTTCTTTGTCTTCACATGGTGTTTTCCAGGTCTTCCGGTACTGTTATTATTGTTTCTTCTTCTTCTTCTTCTTCTTCTTTTTTTGCATGTGATGATGCTCTCTCAAGCGAGCACAGCTCATAAATGATAAATCTTTCTCTCAAATGGTTATCATCTAATGGTTATTATTTGTTTGTCTGTTTTCTGTATTCATCTTTAATTCCTTTTCCAATTTTCCAGGGATTAATTGCCCGTGCAATTTCTTAAGCTTTAGTCATTTCTGAAGCTTTCCCGAGTTTTCATTTGATCTGGGCTCTGAGTTCTTCTCTCCAAGTAACTCTGTTCTTCTTAGCGTTTTTAATATTCTTTGGAGTTTGCAGATTAACTGTTTGGTTGTTGAGAAAATGTAGAGAAAAGTGTAGAAACCGATAGGAAAAGTCGACAAATAGATAGACCTGAAGCTGGTGCTTTTCTGTTCTTTAGTGATTGTGTTTCTGACTTTCTGATATCTCTGTTCATTCAAATTCATGTAGATGTGGCCAAAATTTTCCTCAAAAGATTCTCTCTTTTACTGAGATTTGAATTGTTTGGGTTGCTGGAAAATTAGAAAGAAAATGAACCCATTGTTGATATTCATCCTGGGGGCAGTTTTCTCGTCTATACTTGCAGACCCTGTTGGAGATAAACAAGCATTGCTAGATTTCATTGAACATATTCATCATCATTCAAGCTCTCTCAGATGGAGCAAGGAAGCCTCTGTTTGCAGCACCTGGATTGGAGTTTCATGCAACAGTGATAATTCCAGAGTTATTGGTCTGCATTTGCCTCGAATGGAATTCCAAGGCCCTATTCCACCCAATACTTTGAGTAGATTATCAGCTCTTGAGTTCTTGAGCCTTAGATCCAATGCCATTTCTGGTTCATTCCCCTTAGATTTTGTCCAACTCAAGAACTTGACCACCCTTTATCTTCAGTTCAATGAGTTTTCTGGTCCATTGCCTGATTTATCAGCTTGGGGTAATCTAACAATCGTTGATCTTTCGAGCAACGGCTTCAATGGAAGCATTCCTCCTTCGGTGTCGAAACCGTATCACTTAATGGCTTTGAATCTTTCTAATAACTTGCTTTCAGGTGATATTCCTGATATCAATATCTCTAGCTTACAACAGCTTGATTTATCCAACAATAATCTTACTGGTATCATCCCCAAGTCTCTTCAAAGATTCCCAAACTGGGTTTTCTCTGGTAATAGTAATCTTTCTTCATCAGCCATCGTCCTTCCTCCTCTCCCGGGCCAAGGACCGAGTTCTCAACCATCCAAGAAAGCTAATAGACTCGGTGAACCTGCACTCTTGGGGATAATAATAGGATCTTGTGTCCTGTTGTGTGTTTTAATTGCCCTTTTTATCATGTGTTGTCACTCGAAGAGACGAAACCGGCCACAAGAACTCCCGGAAAACACGCGAAAGAAAGAGGTCTCTTTGAAGAAAACGACTTCTGAGAGTCGTGACAAGAACAACAGGCTTGTGTTCTTCGAGGGGTGTAATCTGGCATTCGATCTCGAGGACTTGTTGATTGCTTCGGCTGAGGTGCTTGGGAAAGGTACATTTGGGGTGACATATAAAGCGGCCTTGGAGGATTCAACAACCGTTGCGGTGAAGAGGTTGAAAGAGGTAGCCTCGGCGAAACGGGAGTTCGAGCAACAAATGGGAGTAATTGGCAATATAAGGCATGAGAATGTGTCTGCTCTTAGAGCATATTATTATTCAAAAGATGAGAAGCTTGTTGTTCATGATTACTGTGACCTGGGAAGTGTCTCTGATTTGTTACATGGTAATCTAACTCGTTATACTTGAATACTGGTCCGTTTTGTTCGATATAATCTTTTGTCTTTATCCTCAATCTATGGTAACGTGATGCAGGTAAAAGGGGAGAAGGCAGGACACCTCTGGACTGGGAAACTAGGCTTAAGATTGCAATTGGTGCTGCTAGAGGCATTGCTTATATCCACACACGAAGCAATGGCAAACTTGTTCATGGAAACATAAAAGCCTCCAACATTTTCCTCAACTCCGAACGATACGGTTGCATCTCGGATATCTGTTTAGCACAAGTGATGAGTCCAATGCCTCCGCCCATACTGTGTGCCGCGGGGTACCGTGCTCCCGAAGTAACAGACACAAGGAAAGCAACTCAAGCATCTGATGTATACAGCTTCGGGGTGTTTTTACTTGAGCTGTTAACCGGGAAATCACCAATACATGTCACCGGTGGCGAGGAGACTGTTCACTTGGTGAGGTGGGTGCATTCGGTGGTTCGAGAAGAGTGGACAGCCGAAGTTTTTGACTTGGAACTCTTACGGTATCCGAATATAGAGGAGGAAATGGTGGAGCTGCTACAAATTGCAATGAGTTGTGCGGTGAGAGTGCCGGAGCAGAGACCGAAAATGGCCAACGTAGCAAAAATGGTGGAGGAAATTCGGCGAGGTAACAGTGGGATGCAATCATCTTTTGAAACTACACCGGAAATCTCAGTTCCAACAACAACCCCTCATGTAGGAGCTGAAAAAGCCTCCTGTTCAACAGTTCCACTGTGAGTGATTCATTTAGAATAATGAATCACTATAGAATCTTTTAAAATTTCATATGAAATAGGGAGATGGAGAAGGGCCTTTGATTATTTAAGTCATTAATTAGTGTAGTTATCTGGGCTATTGTATCATTCAAAAAGCATGATTTTGCTCAGTGAATGACTTATTAGATTTATTTAGCTCTTGATTTGTAGTTTTCCTTTGTGTTTCTTGTAGAACACATAACCAACCACAATCTATGGACAAGAAAACCCAGAAACATGTTGAGAAATTGATTCCGTTGTTTTAAATTTCCACCTCTATGGCCCAGCAAGCAGGCCAGGCTACCACCATTTCATGGGTATATTGGGTAGTTTTCTTCTGTCCTTTTGCTTGTGGACTTTAGCCACTAGGCGTCTGGTTTTGCCGGCTATCTACAAAATATAAAGTGCCAGTCAATATGAACCATCTAGTGGTCTTTATAATCAACTGCGAAATTCTAATTTAATCCCAAGTTGTTCCATTTAATCTTTTCTTAAACCTGGATTCAAAGGACGGCCATTTTTGCTAGTTTATATAACAATGGGTGTGTATGTGTATATACATATATATGGATTGAGGGATAGGGAGCATAGTGGAAAGGGGCAAGACATTGCAAACAATAGGCCTTTTCTGTTGTGCATGGTGATGCCATTGGCTGGACCTTTGGGTGCAACCGCAAGTTATGCATGTAAGCCATTTAACTGCAACTGTTTTCCGGAAGGTTTTGACGTCGGCGCTGGATTGGCTGCTTACCAGGTGCCTATCTTCTCCCATTAGTTAATTAATGCTATTGTTTTCGATGTAATTTTTCCTGGAAAAAAATTCGTAAGGTGTTGTCTATCGAGAACCATTGTGCGAGTCCAAGTACATTTGAATCGAAGTATGGCACCAGTAGAGTCGGAAGACAAAATCCGAACATAAAGTAGCAGCTGATGTGTGATGCTCCCAACTCTGTGAACAATAATATGCGCATTTTTAAAAGATGCATTAATCATATGTATGTACATATTAAGATTTTCAATATAATATATATATATGTCAATCTGAAGTTAGCTTGGCATATTGTGACAGAAAGGATCCTTGATGGAAGTACTTGGGACGTAGCAGTTGATTTACCCTTTCATTACACACTTCAACCTTGCACCAAATAATTCATTCATGCATGTCGTATTTGTATTTTTTCACGTACCCGATTTTACGGAATCGGATCCGAACGTTTCTCGACAAAAACCGTGCAGGTTTTTGGATCCGTACGGCGAGTATCCGAAGAGCATGCAGGCATTGGTAGGGAGCAGATTGCCCAAATTTACGAAAGCAGAGTCCAAGATGTTGAAAGGGTCCATTGATTTCCTCGGTGCAAATTACTACACTTCAAATTATGAAGCAAATGCTCCCCCATCAAATACTTCCAGCTTGTTCAGTGATGCCAGGGCAAACATCACAAGTATGTTCATCAAACATCTTTGCATTTGAACCAATAAGAGCTAGCACTCTCATTAACGTACCATTTCGTTCATGCAGCCGAGAAGAACGGAGTCCCGATTGGCACACCCGTAATCTCGAAGCTTTCTCTTTTCTTTTCCTCTTTTTTGGATCTTCCGTTTTGACGAATGAAATGTCGGTGTCGATTTTGCAGACCGATGTGAGCTGGCTTTTCGTATATTCAAAGGGTTTGAGAGATCTTATGCTACACATGAAGAAGAAACACCACAATCCACCGATTTACATCACGGAGAACGGTTAGCCGGATCACCGGAGTCTTCGGTCCTCGAGTTTCAACATGGGAATTACCCTGAATTTCGTTTCTTTTGTCCCTGCAGGGGTGGTGAAGCAAAGAATGATTCATTGCCAATAAAAGAAGCCCTCAAAGATACCACAAGGATCAAATACCTTGACGGCCACTTAAAGTCCCCGTTGAAAGCAATCCAGTGAGTACTTAGGAAACAAATTAATAGTCTTTTTAGTCAACAAACTTTCAAATTTTACAAAATGGTCATTAAATTTTGGCAGGGAGGGTGTTGACATAAAGGGCTACTACGTGTGGGCGTTTCTGGATGACTTCGAGTGGACTTCTGGATATACTCTTGGATTATGGTTCACATACATTGATTACAAGAACAATTTGAGAAGATACCTTAAGCATTCAGCTCACTGGTTCAACAAGTTCCTCTTTGGTTAACTGCTACAATTTATAAAATTGTCATAAATTTGTAAGAGCTCGGATGCTTCATCCTTCCCCACTTTCACCAAGAAGATATATACTAGTGTGGTTAGAGATGGCTAAATTTACCTATCAAGTCCCTCTATTATAGGGACTAGCTCAAATTAACCCATATACTATTAGATGAATCAATTTAGTCGATCTGTTTTAGGAACTGGTTTAAACTTGATTTATTTGTAAACCACAACTGTACGTAAATAGTATACTTACAAATAATAATTAAATTGTGTATTAAATTTATAAAAACAGAAGCCTAGCCTGTTTATTGAGTAGAGTGGGCATTTTAATAAGATATATAATTATAATCATAAACTAAATACATAACAATGATATTTTCGTATAACCATTAATATAAGAATTAGTCATTTAAGATCACACGAAGACCACATAAGTAAAAGGTTAAAAGCCCAACAAAAAAAACTCGAACCGAAAGTAGATACGAACAAATTTGATCGCATCGATATATGAACCACAAAGGAGATCAAGCTACTAAAAGACCGTTAACAAATCGTTAATCAAAGTCAAGCGACTTGAGAAAACTATCCACGAACTTAAATCGTGTATTCAAATCCAATCCGAATATCCAAAGTATGAAAGATCAACACTATAATAAATATGTGTCATGTTGATCAATCATGGCTATGTCAAATCCAACCTTAAAGTGAAAAAAAATAAATAAACAAAAACATCAATCAAAAGACCAAAAACGTGTCGAAAGGTAAATAAAAACATATTATAAAGGCATGATTATTGAAAGTTAAAAAATCAAATATATAATATAGATAAATTAAAAAATAAGAAATATCAATGACGGCAATTAACATCAAAATTTTGAAAATAAAGAAAAATTAAACTAAAATATTATCATTTATCATTCAATCCATTAATATTAATTAATCAACACAAGTCTGGTCATGAACTTGACCAAAGATCTCAGTCCAAAATCTATCTCAACAAAAAACAACATTTAAATAATGAAGCTAAGTTTGCGTTTGGTCTGGCTTATGGGTCGTGAGCACGAGTGGAGGGCAGCATGGTCCCCAAAAATCAGCTTCAATTATTATATTATTTAATTAATAAAACCAAACCCTATCTTATAGTTTGAATGAACTCCACATTGTCTCCACTTAAGACAAAGTCACCAGCTTCCCCTAAGACACTCAACACTTCTACTGCTACTCCCAATAATTTGAACTATATTAATTAATTTCAAATAAAAAGATACACCCATCCTAAGTCAAAAACTCAAGACATAAGTTTTTTAACCTAAAAATATCGTTTCTTTGTTTAAGTTAATAATCACGTTTCAAACATAAATTTTTGACTGAAAATGAATTTGTTTGGAAATGCTTTTGCGTTTCAAATGGAATTTTGTGCCGAAAACATTTCCATAAGTATTTTCAAACGATCTCTTAGAGTCGGAAGTTGAAGACGATTTATTTTATAAGGTGATGAATCAATAATATGTTTTTTCTTTAATGAAAAAGAGAGAGTTGCATGTCGCCTTGAGGAGCATGTGCATGGGATTGACTAATCCCTCTATCCTAACTCAGTAGGGTAGGCAGAAGTATGCAATGGTGATTTTTATTATGTGTTATGTTAAGTATTATTCTAATTAGTATGTTGAGGTTGAAAACTATGTTTTGTTTTACATATTTGAATGGTGATATTTTATTTATTTTATTTTATATTTTGTTTTTATAATATTATAAATTTTGTTGTGTTTTATTAATATTTTTTTATTAATATGGAGTAAGTAAGGACAATATATGTTCATAGATAACTCTCTACCATTTGATGTTAAATGATTACACTCCTTATATTCTTGATGCTCACACCATTTGACATGTGATTTATTTTACTAGTTCATCAAAATACATGCAAATATATATATATATATATATATATATATATATATATATATATATATATATATATATATAAACCTTTTGACATATGTTCACACCCCTGGCGTTTATGGTGCTCGAACTCGTATCCTCAAATAATAACAACAATTCCTTTATCATATAAATCACTCGGTTCATGCTTATTTATAATGGTTAGATATTATTATTTGAGTTCTATTTAGTCCAATAAAAAATGTACGGCGTGATTCATTTAATAAATAAATTAAATAGAGAGAAAAAAAGGAGATATGTAATTTTTGAATATCTATGTAAATATATTTCTAAGGTTTTTAGATTTAGATAGTGACATTGTGAACTTGTTAGGCTTCTCTTGTAGTCTTTCTTGCAATTGTTGTCATTGGGATTTTTCTCTAAAGAATTTTTCTAGATATAGATATAGATATAGATATATTAATCTTGTTCGTTTACTCACTGATATTCGAAACAAACAATGAAAATATTAAATTTAAGGGTAAATTACATCGTTCCTCATTGAACTATATTTTCTCTCTTATTTTCTTCACCCAACTTTTAATTTTTATATTTTGCTCACTGAATTTTACAAATTAAATCATTTTGCTTACTTTGTCGTTAACTATTTAACAGCTTTATGACATGGAACAAGCATCAAAACGACGTCATTTTGAAAAACTTAAATATACATCAAAACAACGACGTTTTGAATTCTATATTTTGAAAGTTTGGTGAGTAAAATATGAGAGGGAGTAAATTTCAGTAAGGAATTGTGTAATTTAGCCTTTTTCCTTTTCTTCTTCATTTTCTCTCTGGACCACCAGCCATTTTTCAGTCCGGCCACCGTCCACAGTCGTTGGTGGTGGCCGTTCAGTCCCAAATTTCACAGGTCGGTTCATCTCGACCCCTGAATCCAAATCTAGTGATTGTTTCACCGGAAAGCGTCTCAAACCCCGTGAATCTCGAATGAAACATTTCAACTCCCTCACTTTCAATCTCAAATTCGTGGATCTTGAAGCAAGTTCCAATAAAATGGAAGTTGGATTCGAAATCACGATGTCGAGGCGGAGCGACCCATAAAATTTGGGACCGAAAGGTCTCCATCTACAGTGGTCGGCGGTGGCACCCTGCCACCTTCTGATTTTTTGTTATTTTATCAATTATTTTATATTAAAAAATAAAAAAAATGCCACATCATCAAAACGTTAGAGAGTTAACGGGGAAATGAGAAAATAATTCAATCTGTAAGTTCAGAGAAGAATTATGTAATTTACCCTTAATTTAATAGATCAAGTAGGTCTGTCAGAGATTGTATCCAAAAGTTTCATCTATAGGTTATAGCTGGCTCAAAGGTTTCTGCTCGAAAGAGTCGGATTCTTTAGAGGCTCCGTTGATCAGGACGACCTACTTAGAACTCTCGATCAACGGCGAACTTATATTTTTCGAAAGTCGTGATGTGGGATATAATAAATCTAATTTTATGAAAAATTATATATAATAATTCATCATAATTTCAAACTCGAATCATTTACCTTTGAACCAAAGTAGCATGTGCCCCAAGAATTTCATGTGACAGGCAATGGTAACATTAATTGTACCGGAACAAGACATTATCACCCACCTTCCCATATCATGACCTCCATTCAGTGAAATGTCCAAATTTCACTGCATTCACTGACAACGAAACCATTTTAAAAAATCATAACGCATATAGCTAATCAATTACAATGTTTCGAATTAGACACGTCTAAGCACAAACGGATGAAAAATAATCCAAATAATATAAGCGATATATTATAATATTTTAACGAAACGGCAACAGATAACTGTGAAAATAATATAGCTAAAATTTCAAAAATAGATATAAAATAATAATTAAACCATTCATTTAAAATTGGAGTTGGGAATTAGTTTATTTAATTTTAGGGTAAAGCACACAAACCGTCCCCTGACTATATGATACTGTTTTACTGAGTCTCTGACTATTAAAAGTTACAAAATAGTCCTCCGACTCTAGGAAGCTGCTTTGTGGAGTCCCTCGACGGCACCCAACTACTGATTATGTGCCAAACTTGTCACTTTCTGTTAAATTTTGACAGCAATCTGAGCTGTACGTTAACTTGTTAACTGAGATATGATAAAATCTGATCTCATAATCTTAAATGACTATCATGTCTCGGTCATGTTATCTTCCAACTTAGACGACCGCTAAATTTTTAAAGGAAAAGGATGAGTTTGGAGCATAATGAATAGTTGAGTGATTATTTTTATAACTTTTAATAGTCGAGGGATTCAACAAAGCAACTCCCTATAGTCGAGGGATTATTTTGTAACTTTTAATAGTCAAAGAACTCAATGAAGTATTATCCTATAGTCGGGGGACCAGTTGTGTACTTCACCCTTAATTTTAAACGGTGTTTAGTTTCTTTAGTTTTTGAATCAAGAGAGACCTAAAAAGTAATTATACCAAAAATGAGAGGTTAGGATCTAATTCACCTAGTTTTAAAATTAAGAGGGCCTTAAAAACAATTGAATGTGGAAAATTAAGAGACAAGACATAATTTATCTAGCTTCAAAACTATGACTACCTAAAAAAAACATTAAACCAAAGGTTTTTTGCAGGCAGGGGTTCTTAGCATAATTTTCTTTTGCCATCTT